ATATTTATTTGTAGTTCATTATACTTTTTCAATATTGTAATCTCGAGATATATGAATTTCAAATACTTCCTCTCAACTTGTCTTTTCTATATCTTAATGGTACTCCCTTCGATGAACAGAAGTTCTTGATTTTAATGAAATCCAATTGTCAATATTTTATTTTAATTGGTGCTGTCTGTATCCTGACTCAGAAATCCTTGCTAACCTAACCGTAAATATATTGTCCTGTTTTTTCTGAGTTAATGTTTTATCTTTCACATTTAGATCATTTAATTCTCTTGAATCAATTTTTGGGTATAATACCAGGTCAAGGAGTACATATTTTTAATGGGGCCAGCTATTTAAGACAGTAGAGTGTAGAAAGGTACAAGGATGTGTAAGAAGATAATCAGTGCACTGCTTCAGTTTGAGTTTGTTTTCTTGTTTGTGATTTTGCAACGTTAATGGTGCATTTTGAAATTTAAAAAATTAATTACAATAATATATAATTAGGTCGGTTCACTCAAATTTATCTCCACAAATTATAGTTTTATGAGTGTTGTAATAAGACATAGTATTTTTTCAGTGATCAATCTTCTACTACTCTGGGAAACTGAATTATTTGGTGCTTTGGCCTCTTTTCAGAGGCAACTTTGTGGAGAAGAGCACTGAACTAGCAATCTGCTGACTTGGATTCAAGTTCTGTAATCTGCTGTTAATTAGCTATGGTTTGCTATAGTGTGTATGCATAGTTTTTTTCTTTCCAATACCCTTCCTTTCTTCTGGAAGCAATAGTCCCCTCCTCCTGGGAGTTATATCTGTCCACTCCACTCCTAAAATCATATACTTACATTAAGATTTGCAGTGTTTTTACATTTTTCTATTCCCTGACCCCTGACATTTTAAGGTCCAGCAAATCTGTGCTAGTCTCCTATAGCTCTCCACTTCAAACGTATACATCCAAAGTGGGACACTTCCAAATTGAAACGATCAGTGCTGTTCTCAAGCTGTTCGAACCTAGCCCATGCAGAAATAGGCACACTATTTTGATTTGGCACGATTCCTTCATATCTTTGGGTCCTCTGTACCAGCAGTTGGACACTCAAGGATTCAAGCAACTGTGGATCATGTAGTACTGTAGTATTTATATTGAAAAAAATTCATATATGAATGGACCCTGCAGTTCAAACCCGTGTTGGTCAGGGGTCAACCATTTATATGTATATCTATGCATACATTTAAATACATATATATTTGTGGACTCAAGTAGTTTATGATATGATGTAGAAAGTATATAACACTGCCTGACTAAAATTCAAAAGTGTGTTAACATTTCCAAAGTGTGAGAAAATAGGTTATACATTTCACTAGTGATTTTAATGAAGCTTAAAGCATAATGACATTTATTACTTTATTTATTATAAGGCTACACTTTAATGATGTATATTGCAGCTGTGATCCACTAAACATAATCAGAGAATTCTCTAAATTGTTTTTGATGAAATATCTGTTCTTGTATTTGTGAATGTTTACTGATAAGATTGCTCTCTCCTTCCTGATTCTGACAGCAGCAGCAGCTGAATGTGCGCATGCCTTCCCTTCTTATTCTCTTCCCTTGCTTTGTAAACAATATACATTTCCTTCTACTGTTGAATACAAAGGATAAATAGCCTTAAAGATAAAATGTATATATGCTTTTCCATTATTTTTCTGCTATGGATCCTTAAATCATTTTAAAACAGAAAGTTTCGCTTTCCTAATAAAATGTTTCCTATGGAGTGTAAATATGTGGGTTTATCACTTTAATCACTGAAATTCTTGAATCAATTAACTCTCTAAGTTGAGGTAGAAGAACTAGAGTAAA